GAAACTCGAGAAAAACTTTGTTATCTATGGAAACACGATGAACAGAAACAAGATTTTTTTCTCAATTTGTGGGACATGTAAGATATTTCTAAGATGAATATTCCAATGAGGGGTATTGACAATTGCATGACCAACATGGTCTATCTTCATACCTTCACCGTTTGCGTTGTGGACTTGATCATGGCCAAGGTATTTCTCGTGCATGGTCACCTTTTCAAGCTCATTGGTGATGTGGTTTGTGGCTCCAGAGTCAACATACCAATTGGCATCAACTCCATAAGATGTATCTGCAGTTGCTGCAACTTTCTTGCGTTGGGTATTGTTCTCGGCATAGCACCAATCACAATCCTTTGCAATGTGGTTATATTTTTTTGGCAAATTTGACATTTATTTTCATACTCATCATAACCTTGAAATTGACGACCCCTATTTTTGTTGTAGGAGGGGCGCCGGTTATTGCTGGAGTAGTAGTAGTTGTTGTTGTGGTAGTGGTCGTCGCCACCACCAACGCCGCCGCCACCGGAGTTGTAATTGCTGTTGTCGCCAGTGTTGTAGTTGTTACAGCTGTTGTTACCACCATAGCCGCTGCCGCAACCACCACCATTGCGGTAGCCCTCGGGAGACCCGCCATGGCCTCTAGCAGCGAGATTGGCATATGATTTGAAGCCACCTGCCCCCGTTCCTTGAAACATCTCGACTCATTGGTCAAAATTCGAGACCATGCCGAAGAGATCATCCATGGTCAGGGGCTCCACACGGACATCCAGCGCTGAGATGAGGGGCTGATAATCCATATCAAGTCCCTCGATGATGAAGGAGAGAAGCTCCTCGTCCTTGATGGGTTTGCCAGCTGCAACAAGCTCATCAGAGACGGCTCGCATATGACCGAAGTAAGTAGTTGGACACTTTGTGAGCCTTTTTGGCATTTGAGAGGGCGATGCGGCAATTGTTGGCGCGGGAGTAGGATTGGGCGGCGAACATGTTAGCAAGTGCTGACTAGATCGCGTGGGAGTTTTCTAGGGATGCAATGAGAACTTCCTTGGAGAGGTTCCGAAGGAGATAGGCCATGATATGTTGGTCCTGGACGAGCCACGAGTTGTAGGTGGGGTTGGAAACAGTCTCTTCTTTCCCATCGGAGTTCTTGGTCATGATGGTCTTGGTGGGTTCGGGTGTAGATTGATCGATGTACCCATATAGCCCAGCCCCCATGATTTGGGAGCGAGCTTGGGCTTTCCAGAGGACATAGTTGGTTCGGCTGAGAGGCTCGGATGTGGTGTAATTGAGGCCAAGGGAAGAGACTTGGGGGAAGGAGGACATGGCAGCTCAAGGTGGAAGATGAAGGTTGCGGTGGTGAGGGGTCTGCTAGATGTGATGGAAGAAGGAGGCTCTGTATACCATGTCAAGATGGGTAAAGCATCTCAACTCTCCTGGTGGAGAGCCCACATGTTATATATTCATAGGATGGGGCTTATCCCATAAATGCATACATTTGATTGTTACAATTGTGCATAGTACGTTAAGAGAAAGAGAGGTACATGGAGATTTACAGGAGATATTAAAGGAGAGTTAAAGAAGAGAGTTACACTAATCAATACAAGCATAAAGTTCAAATAACCTAATCATGTACGTTTAATCTTGATGTTTAACAACGATCTGTATATATGCCTGATATTGCTACAAGGTTGATGTGTTGTGCTCTTTGAAATGTTGTGAGGTATTTGGAATGAAGGTTGTCAATTTGTTTATCTGTTTTTTGTTTGA